AGCAGACTATACACAAATATACACACATCTGTGTACAAGGAATTGTGAACTGTCTCAAAGTCAGGCTACCTTCAAGTCAACACAAATGTACATCCCTATCACAAGTACCGGTTAGATGTACCTATATCGGCATACCGACACTGCGTATTTCAGCCTGTCACTGATTTTTGGCGAGCTGTACACTGCACCTGTGACTCCTAGGCAGAGAACTACACCAGAATGTACACTGTGCAGCCCCATTGCGGCCGTGTACATGAACCCTATCCTTCATGACAGGATCACCAGATATTATTATAATGAGAGCCGCAGATTTAAAAATACTGAAATGATATTTGAAAGGACATTCACATGTTAAAGCGTCGGTGAGATTGTAGTGATGGGGCTTCCACTCCCTTCAGTGAGGGTTTTCACTTTTTGTAAGTGAGGAGGAGGCAGAGATAATAGCCTGAGTTGGCCATTGTGCGCTCTTTGTTTGGACTCAGCATGGTGGGGGTTGGAAGGGTCCAGACACACATGATCTACAATGGAGAGGGAGTCGAGGTGAGGTGAATTGTGGGTGTGCCGTGTAAAATAATCTCATCTCTTCACACTGGACATGTACAGTACTACACGTCTGTGTCATATCCTCCCAGGCATGTTAAAGCCAGCTATCTTCTCCATGTCACTGGGATATGAGGGCAATAAGGCAGCTGCATCACTGCTTCCCGCCTTGCTCTGTAAATCTGTAACCTGACTGACAGGGCTCTAACAGCTGTACACTAGCCTGCCTGCTCATATCCTCCCCACTGTGCTACTGGAAGTAAACAACTGCCAGCCATTGTCATCATTCATTTACTGACACATGCACCACAGTGCAACTGATACCCATAGCAACCAAGGCCTAGCTACCCATCAGCGCTATACATCCGTAACTGGAATCTACACGGTGACTTTACAACCAATCACTGAAAGCATATATACACCAAGATATCATTTGTCTTGTCATTTTAAAAGTCACTTTAAATCTGCAGCTTTCAATACTATCTGGAATTTCTGCTGTAAAGATTCTTGTTTAGGCACCATCTATGATAGGGTGTCACTTATTTGTGTCTGACACTTGTGCTGCTGCGTTGTCACTCTGTCCCATGAGCTACAAGTTACAGCACACATTATACAGGTATCTGGAGATCACGTGCGAATGATCAGTCCTGGACGCAGACCGTATCCACGGGTCACTCTGTCCCATGAGCTACAAGTTACAGCACACATTATACAGGTATGCAGAGATCACGTGCAAATGATCAGTCCTGGACGCAGACCCCATCCACGGGTCACTCTGTCCCATGAGCTACAAGTTACAGCACACATTATACAGGTATGCAGAGATCACGTGCGAATGATCAGTCCTGGACGCAGACCGCATCCACGGGTCACTCTGTCCCATGAGCTACAAGTTACAGCACACATTATACAGGTATGCAGAGATCACGTGCAAATGATCAGTCCTGGACGCAGACCGCATCCACGGGTCACTCTGTCCCATGAGCTACAAGTTACAGCACACATTATACAGGTATGCAGAGATCACGTGCAAATGATCAGTCCTGGACGCACACCGCATCCACGGCCGATCACGCACTTGTGATCACCGCATACGAGCGGCCGTTATTAGCTGCCAGTGGAAGCCTCCTGCAGCTAATCGCCAGAAACCTCTGCTTGGGTTCGCGCATGTAATTGGAGTCGAGTGCATTCACAGGTGTGTAAGGTAATTAAAAAATAAAAAAAAATAACAACCGTAATGCAACACAGAAAGACAGTGCACTGCAACAGAAGCAAAAACGCATCACAGTGCATATTGCCAGCAAACAATGTGATGTGAAGCTACCCTTAGGCTAGGTTCACATCTATGCAGACCACGGCACCACCTGCCTGGAGTTTGCATGTTCTCCCTCTGGCTGCGTGGGTTTCTTCCCTCATTCCAAGGACATGCTGGTAGGTTAATTGGATCCTGTCTAAATTGGCCCTAGTATGTGTATGTATGAATGTAAGTTTGGGACTTTAGATTGTACGCCCCTTGAGGGTTAGGGATTGAGGCGAATGTACAAAAAAAAAAAATATATATATAGGTAGGTAAAGCGCTGTGTAAAATGATGGCGCTTTAGAAGAACCTGCAATAATAATAGCAGATTGTGCGGTTTCACAATGCGTTTTTAAACAAACTTTTTTTGTTTTTTTTATGTGTTTTGCTTTTTTTGCCAGTAGGAAATTATTGACTTTGATGCAACTTTTTTTTTGCCAATAGGAAAGTTTGGCAGTTCTGTTCATGTAGTGCAACTTTGATGCGACTTTGATGCTACTTGAGTGCCAGAGAATAGAAAGCTGCATCAAAGTTGCATCAAAGTCAATACTTTCCTATTGGCAGAAAAAAAAAGAAAGCAAAAAACATTATCAAAAACACAACACTTGCATTTATGGTGCAGTTCCAGTGAAGACTATTGCAGAAAAAAATGCAATCTGCTGGGGTAAAAAAGCCTGTGACCCTTTTAAAAAAAAAATGCACTGGTTTAAAACACACAGATGTGAACTAGATCCATAGGAAATCATGTTAAATGGGCTGTAGTGCGTTTCTGAAAATGGGAAAACACACTGAAATCCACATAAGTGTGCACCTAGCATTCACTCTAGCTATGTCCACACTAGCCCGTACAAAAAAACGTAGATATGTGCATTGTCAGTTTGTTTTTTTTTGTTCAACCAGCTGGTTGAACGAAAAATCTGACTTGATTCCCCCATCCACATATTTATGGTGGATGTGGGAATTCTCCCCGCTGAGCTATTGTATATTGACAGCAGGGGGACTTCCCTGCCATCAGAATACACTGATCAGCATTGCAGCCTGCAGCCAGCAGCGTGGATTGAGTGGGAAAAATCCGACAAGGCGGTTGTACAGAAGTTGATCAGTAGATTGAAGCAGCCCAATTTTCCATCTATGGCCACCTTTACCATGAGGGCAGCTGTCAGCTTACAATCTAAGAGGGAGGGGCTAGTGGTACAAAAGGTAATAACTGCAAGGGATGGACTGGTAGAAGGAATAGAAGATTTCATTATTAGCTGAGGACAGGATAGGCTTCTCTGAAGAGAGATGTTTTCAGAGATCGCCTAAAAGTGAGCAGAGTAGGCGATTGTCTGATAAATTGGGGTAGAGAGTTCCAGAGGATGGGGGAAGCTCTGGAGAAGTCCTGGAGATGAGCATGGGAGGAGGAGACAAGGGAGCTAGAGAGCAGGAGGCCGTGCGAGGAGAGTACGGTTTGGGTGATATTTGGAGACAAGATTGGTGATGTAATTTGGGGCAGAGTTATAAATGGCTTTATATGTTATTGGTAATATTTTGAATTTTATTCATTGAGCAATGGGAAGCCAGTGGAGGGATTGGCAGAGAGGGGTGGCAGATACAGAACGGTTAGTAAGGTGGATGAGTCTGGCAGCAGCATTCATGATAGACTGGAGATGGAAGCCCTGTCAGCGATGACAGCAGGCCAATAGAGGGATCCATTTTTAGGTAAGTCTGTCATGATGTGCCAGTATGTGATGCATACTAGCACATTATAATATGAGCCTGCAGGGGACCAATTTGCCCTCCAGAGGATTTACCCCCCTTCCTGACCAGGCCATTTTTTGCGATGCAGTGCTGCATTACTTTAACAATTGCGCGGTCATGCAACGCTGTACATAAATGAAGTTTATGTCCCTTTTTCCCACAAATAGAGCTTTCTTTCAGTGGTATTTTGTCACCTCTGTGTTTTTTATTTTTTGCGCTATAAACAAAAAAAGACCGACAATTTTAAAAAAAAATATATATATTTTTGACTTTTTGCTATAAAACATATCCAATAAAAAAATTTAAAAAAAATCTAATTTCTTTATAAATTCAGACCAAAATGTATTCTGCTACATGTCTTTGATAAAAAAGTGAAAGTTATAGCATCTAAAAATTCTTTTTTTTTAACTAGTAATGGCGGCAATCAGTGACTTATAGTGGGACTGCGGCGGGCATTCTGACACTGGGTGGGAACTGACTAACTGCCACTGACATCCCCGGAGACACTAATACAGTGTATACTGTATTAATACTGTAATAGTAATACTAATACTATTAAAAAGCACTGACACTGTACTAATGACACTGGGCAGGAAGGGGTTAACATCTGGGGCGATCAAAGGGTTAACAGTGTGCAGCGTGTGTGTTTTACTGTGTGCTGTGTTCAGGGGCGGACTGACAACTTATGGGGCCCCCTGGGCAATAGGGGATCATGGGGCCCCTGTGTCCTTGCCCAAACTCAAAAAAGCCTATGAAAAAGGTCCGGGGGGCATCTCATGGGGCCCCCTACTGATCCCGGGCCCTCGGGCAGTGCCCGAGCTTCCAAATGGTCAGTCCGCCCCTGGCTGTGTTTTACTAAGGAGACATGCTGTGCAGAGAGATACAAAACAGCATGTCCATGCTGACACACAGGTCTCTCCCCTGTCAGCTTTCCCTGATGGGACCCAGTGATTGACATCTCTAGCCGCCAATAGCGGCTCTGGTAGGGTGGCAAGCATGCCCCCTACCCGGAAAATGAGACTCATGTATATATACATGATTTTGCACAGCACTGCCGCCCTGTAGCAGTATTTCTTCTATAGTGCGGAGGGCAAGCGGTTAAGGTTTGCTACCGCTTTAACATTTTTTTGTAGCGTCACTTCCATTCATGTCTTGTGGTCCCATCCAGCGCTCTGGGGAAAAGTACAACCATGCAGCCTGTTTTCACATTGAACTGCACCGCACTTCATGCCATCATTGTGGTGTGATTAGAGCACACCAAAAACACCTGGTGATCAATGTGTGGAAATATGCAGGTGACTGCGCATACTGAGTACGAGCCTTTTCTGCAGATCCAACCTTGTAAAATAGTATCAGTATTTGGATACTTTGTTAAACATGATCAAATTAAAAATAACACCAGAATCTGTCCTGTGATGAGCTGCACAGGAGATGGCACCTTGCCACCAACTGGCTTAGTACAGTGTAAATGCTTATTATGTGGCCTATATAGTCAGCTAGCATTGGTATTAGTCAGTCTATTAAGAGGTGCTGTAAGACACATAAAATGCTATTGAAGGCTATGGGTCGTGTAATAGGCCCCCCGGGCTCTTCCTGAAGCATTGTAGGCACTCTATAGGGTTACCAGCATTCCTTCAGCATAAAAAGGGAGACAGATGGGTGTGATTGGCCATTATCCTAAACATGATTATTATACAGGATTTATATAGCGCCAACAGTTTGCGCAGCGCTTTACAATGTGAGGGCACTTACAATACAATTGCATAAAGGAGGAATCAGAATCCAGAGCTTACAGTCTCAAAGAGGAAGGACAATCTAAAAGGGAAGGGATTATATTTATTTACTTCACAATAATCGTTAAAGTGTTACTAAACCCACAGCAGTAAAATCCGTCTGTATATGCAGTAAAGCATGCTTGGTATACTCACTGTGGAACCTAAGGGGTTTATCCTCTGCATTGTGTAAAAATGCTGTTTGATCCTGTCTTTTCTGATCCTCTTATCTCCTTATAAGACATATCGTGTGGAGACACTCTGCACATGCTCAGTTTGGTGTGTATTGCTAGAGAGGATTTTTTTTTCTTGGGAGAGTGCATGTGATCAGCACAGAGCCAATCAGCACTGTCCAAACACAGATCAGGGGTTCTGCAGCCTCCTAGAAGAGAATGAAAACTCCTCCTACAAGTTTTAACATGTGCTTGGCTGGACACTGGTAGAAGTCACAAGACTGCTGTAACTGCTGATGAGAAAAGGTATTTAGTAGTTTATATTTACTAAAATAATGTAATTTCCATGTTCTGTGTACTGTGGGAGACCAGATAGAGTGAATGCAGGGTCCGGGGTTTTAGTAACACTTTACCTTAGGAAGTTTTGCCCTAACAAACCAGTAAGTTTGTCACAGATATTGGGATTATTCGAGAAAATGGACCACTTTTTTTTTTTTAAGGGACATCACTGCTAAGGGACAGCTGACCATCCTATGTTCAATGCAATGTAAGGCCAATGTCACACTTGCAATCCAGTCCCTGGCCAGAACTCACCAGGATCAAAGGATCACTAAAAATATGAAAGAGGACTCACCTTCTTGTATGTGTCGCTCCCTTGTCGTCTAAAAGAGCGCAATGTCGCTCCCTCGCTTCATAATGTATGTTGTCGACAGGAGAGCGACACCTTGCTTGTACTGGAGGTGAAGGAGCCAGACAAGCATTTCATCTGTGTGTCCTTTCTAATGACCCCGCTGTTGGCAAGTGCAAGTATGCCTGTGGCCTAACTGGGATGATTTTTATTCTGTAGCCCTATAAGAAACCACAAACACGTTCATCTGACACATTCGAGTGGGTCTAACGTGTTCTTATGTTACATAGTGTGTCTTGCAGCTTAATGGTCCTGGTGTGAACAACCCCAAAAAGACATGAAGGTATAGACACCCATCTGACCAGGTCCTGAGTACAGGGTCACGTAAGTGCTATTCCCGTGCTTAATATTTGTACAGTGACGATGGAAGTGTGAAATTATTCAGATGAGCTGATGATCATGGCTACATCTCAGAGAGACGTCAACAGGAAATTCTTGAATCTTGTCATATGCATATCATTTTTAGTGAAGATCCTCTCACTTGATATGAAAGGTTCTTCTATTCTTAGTCATACAGCCTGATCAGATTTTGGCCCCCAAAACCACAAGTCAGAACAAAAAACTGAATTTTTTAAAATTGCAATTTCAGAGCAGAGGAAGCTGCAGAAATGCAACAGGCAATAGAGACCACAGGCATGATACAAAAAGATAATCAGAGACTGCAGACATGGAACAGGAGATGGTCAGAGACAACAATATGGACATGCCACCGGAGATGGTCAAAGACTACTGACATACTAAAGTATATGGTTAGGAACTATGAGCATGCTACACACAGATGGTCCGAGACTGTAGACATGCTACAGGAGATGGTCAGAAACTATGGGTAAGCTACAAGTGATAGCCAGGGACTGCAGAAATTCTACAAGAGATGGTCAGGAACTAAAGTATGGCTATTAGAGATGGTCAAAGACTACTGACATGCTAAAGTATATGGTTAGGAACTATGGGCATGCTACACACAGATGGTCCGAAACTGTAGACATGCTACAGGAGATGGTCAGGAACTATGGGTAAGCTACAAGTGATTGCCAGAGACTGCAGAAATGCTACAAGAGATGGTCAGGAACTAAAGTATGGCTATGCTATTAGAGATGGGCAGAGACTGCTGATATGCTACAAGAGATGGTCAGAGATCATAAGCATGCTACAAGATATGGTCAGAGACTGTGGACATGACAAAGAAGATGAGAAGAGACTATGGGCATGATACAAGAGATGGTCAGAGACTGTGGACATGACAAAGAGAAGATGAGCAGAGACTATGGGCATGCTACAAGAGATGGTCAGAGACTGCAGACATGCTGCAGGAAATGGTTGGAGACTTTGGGCATGCTACTAGAAATGGTCAGTGACTATAATCATGCTACAAAGAAATAGTCAGTCTGCAGACATGCTACAAGAGATGGTCAGAGAAGATGACCATTATACAAGAGGTCAAGAGATGGCCAGAGACTGTGGGCATGCTACAGAAGTTGGTCAGGGACTGTGAACTGTGTGTACTATAGGAGTTCTTGAAGACATGATTCAAGAGGCAGTTGAGTGCCCAAGTCACGTTATATGAGGCTGTCAGAGATCACAGCCTTTTTACAAATCATCCCCCTTAAAGTTTACGTGGACCACATTTGAAATTTCTTTCAGCGAGATGCATAAGATGAAAGATAATTAAACATGAAAAAAAGAATTAGGATGGAAAGAAAAAAGGGAAGATAGTATGAAAGAAGGAAATCAAGCCATTTGCCTACAAGGTACAAGGTATAATCCACCTGGATACACAAAGTAGTTGTAGTCATATGTACAATTTTACTAACACATGTCAAAGTTGCAAAATTGGGTCTGGGCATTAAGGTTTGATTTGACTCTGGTCATTTAAAGGGTTTAAAATACATGTTTTCCATTCCCTAATGCTGCCTTCTTTCTACCAGGTGCAACATGAACGTTTTAGTTTGCCCCTCCTGCCAGATCTCTGTAGCCAGTGAGGAAAAGTGAGGAATGCATAACCCCTCCCCTCATTACTTACTGCCATTTAGTGGCAGTTTGGTACAGCTCAAATTTGCAATGCTGTGTGATGTCCTTCACTCCATCATATTACGAGCACAATCTGGGATCTAATAGATCCCAGATCTTTCCATAAAGAGGACCTGTCTTTGTATTTTTTACTTCTGATAGCAATAAAAGTGATAAAAAAGAAAGATACAGTGCATTTTCTTTTAAATAAAATAAATTTTAAATATTAAAAAATATATATATAAAAATGTCCCCGTTCCCTTATGCTCATTTACAAATGCGAATGCACACATAGGTCCCACACACATATGTGAATGGCAATCGCATCACACATGTGAGGTATCGCCTCGAACGTCAGAGCAAGGGAAACAATTTTAGCACCAGATCTCCTGTGTAACTCTAAATTGGTAACCTGTAATGATTTTAAAGCATTGCCTATGGAGATTTTTAGGCACCGTAGTTTGCCGCTATTTCATGGGTGGACACAAATTTAACCAGTTTACGACCGCCCACCTGCAATGTACTGCGGACAGGTGTCTGCTGTAGGCAAAGCAATGTATGGGTACGTTGCTGCCTACTTCCAAGTCCCCCCCCCTCGGCACCCGCTTCGGGGTGTCTGTCAGCAAGTCCCAGCCAATGATTCATGGCCAGGACTTGCTGATCGCCTGTGTACAATCACAGCCCAAAGGAAGTGATGTCAATTTCTCATCCCTGCAAAAAACGGAGAGATCTAGTAGTAAAAGCAGCACACTTTACACACATTACACATAATTAGGCACACATTTAACCCCTTGATTATTATTATTATATTATTATACAGTATTTATATAGCGCCAACAGTTTGCTCAGCGCTGTACATTACAATGGGAGACAATACATGATGTTAACCCCTTCCCAGCCAGTGTCATTAATACAGTGACAGTGTATAATTTTGGAACTGATCACTGTATTAATGTTACCGGTGATGTCAGATTGCCTTCCTCACTCTTGCAGTCCCATTATAAGTCACTGATCACCGCCATTAGTAGTATAAGAAATAATTCCAGTATATACACCATAGTTTGTAGGCATTACAACTTTCACGCAACCAATCAATATACGCTTATTGGGATTTTTTTTTATCAAAGACATGTAGCAGAATACATTTTGACCAAAATTTATGAAGAAATTAAATTTTTAAAAAATATTTTATTAGGTATTTTTTATAGCAGAAAGAAAAACATTTTTTTTCTAAAAATATTTGGGCTCTTTTAATTTATATTGCAAAAAAAATGAAAAAAACAATGGTTATCTAATATTACCAAAAGGAAGCTCTATTTGTGTGAAAAAATTATATACATTTTGTTTGGGTACAATGTTGCAGGACTGCACAGCCAGACCAGTTAAAGTAGCACACTTCAGTAAAACAAAAAATGGCCTGGTCATGAAGGGGGTAAAAACCTCCAGAGCTAAAGTGGTTAAAGTGAGACATCTTAAAGCAGAGCTCCACCCAAAAGGGGAGGTTCCACTTTAAGGACTGCTTCCCCACTCCCCATTAAGGATTGGCACCTTTGGGGGGCAGGAGGGAGCGGGTACCCGAATTTGACAGGTACCCGCTCCCACTTCCGGTCCGATCGCCTAGGTCAGGGGTAAGCAACCTGCGGCTCTCCAGCTGTTGCAGGACTACAAGTTCCATCATGCCTCTGCAAGTCATAGCTGTAACTGTCAATTTTGCAATGTCTCATGGGAAATGTAGTTCCACAACACAGCTAGAGAGCTGCAGGTTGCCTACCCCTGGCCTAGGTGATCAGAAATGGAAGGTGTCCTCCCCCCCTGTAGTCTTTTGGGACATGTGACAGGTCCCAGAAGACTACAGAACCATTCATGAAGCGCAGCACTACTCGCGCATGTGCAGTGGGTACCCGGCTGTGAAGCCGCAAGCTATCACAGCCGGGTGCCCACACTGCAGATGCCGGCCTCCTGGAATACAGGACGGCTGGTGAAATGGGCTGCGGGGGACACACCAGGGGACCGGGATAGGTAAGTGTCTGTTTTTTAAGTATCTATTCACTCAGCGTAACATCATACCAGGATAGGTAAGTGTCTGTTTTTTAAGTATCTTATTCACTCAGCGTAACATCATACCTCTCTGAGCTCCTGAACCTCTCCTTTTCCCTCCCACTTCCATTTGATAGGAACAAGCAGTGCACATTAGTTGTGGTTATATTCATTGCTCTGTGCACACTACAAATCAAATAGTTCAAAGTCTATCTCAAAGAGCGAGAAAGTGATAGTGACTATGTTCCTACATACAGTGAGACCATGAAAAAGGAACCTTACCACTCTCTAATAGGAAGTCAAATCACACATCAGCAAAAAAAAAAAATGAATTTGGAGATTTGGAGGTGGATGGATGAGAGCAATAAAGGGGACTTTTTTAGTTAATATCTGTATTAGTTTATACTAAAAAGCTGCTAGCACCTTACCATATACCCAATGGAAAATGACAAACTGAAGACTTGTTTTGAGTTAATACTTACTAGAATAGAACTTGTTTTTTTTTTTTTTTAAATCAGAGCTTAGAGTCACTTACAGGAGGGGTGGGGAAAGGACTATTATATCCACCAACCAGCACTTCTTTGGAATGTGGGAGGAAATCCAAATGAACACAGGGAGAAGATGCAAACTCCATGCAGATATTTCTTTGGTCAATATTTAAATCAAGGACCCTAGTGCTGCAAGGCAGAAGCACTAACCAGTAAGCCACTGGGGTATATTTACTAAAACTGGTGCACTCAGAATTGGTGCAGCTGTGCATGGTAGCCAATCAGCTTCTAACTTCAGCTTGTTCAGTGAAGCTTTAACAATAAAACCTGGAAGCTGATTGGTTGCACACTCAAGATTTAGTAAATCCCAGCCCCCACTTTGTCATGAGATAAAAACTGCCTGTATCTGATGGCTGCAGCCAGAAACAACTCCATTCTGATTCACTGTCTACAGGTGTGTTACATTTTCAAATTATTTTATTATTATTATTATTTATTATTATTACTATTATTATACAGGATTTATAAAGCACCAACAATTTGCTCAGCACTTTACAATATAAAGGGAGCAACAATACAGTTCAATACAAAAAGGTTAGGAAGGAGGACCCTGCTCCTGAGAGCTTACAATCTAATAATAATCAGATCCTGGTTGCTGTCCAATCCAAGGGATTGAGGCCCCCCCCTAACAGGGCCCCCCCTCCCCCCCAGAACCTAGCAGAGAGAGCCCCCCATCCCTGACTCCGCAGGCACCCACAGCTCCTCTTCTCTTCTTCTCACCAGTCTCTAGGCTGGCCTCGTTTCCATGGCAACAGCGGGGCTGATTCCAAATGTGTGTGTTTTTTTCTAAGAAGGAAGGGGGGGGGAGGAGGGGGACAGATGGAGCTCGGGGTGAGGGGAGGGGATAAGAAAGGAGGGGTAGAGGGTGCAAGGAGGAGGGATGGCAAGTTAAGGGGAGAAAAAAAAAAAAAGGAGGACAATAGGGCACAGCCCTAAAGCAACGTGGACGAGGAAGGCTAGTGTTGCTGGGTAGAAGAAGGAGAGTGTAGAGCAATGTGTCCCCTCCCTGGCCTTGTGTGGGCTGTCTGCTGAGACAAGAGGGGGGGTCCTAGAAAAGAGTGGGTGCTGCTGCAGAGGGTGTCTAGTAGAGGGGGATGGGAGGAGGCATTGATGTCTGCATGCAGAGAAATGAAAGGATGATGCCTAGTGTTGTTGTCACCAGACCATCCGGATTGTGTATTGTCTGCTCCAGGCCTCCACCTCTCCTGTGTGTCACTGTCACTGCACTGACTGGGGAAGCAGATGCTTGCTGTACAGGCTGCCATCCCACAATCTGCACATTGCCAAGTGCTGCTTCTAGGAAGGAGGCTCTTTACTAGAAATTCTACTACTGGAGACACAACGCTCCCTATAGACACTACACTCAGCCACCTGAGGCCATGGAGATCAACAGGGGGCAGCTTCTTCTCTTATTTACAAAGGCTTATTCCTTGCATCTAGCAATCAATCGGGCCATACACACCGGGGCCATCTTAATGCATGGGCCCCAGGTGCACGAGGGCCCCACGATCATCTTGCATCACATATGCTTACTTTGTCACAGGCTGACCTGAGATGGCCTTGTCCCAGGAAGCATCCTGGATTCTGGGCCACGGGGACAGCAGCAGCCTGTAGTGGGCTAACTCTCCAATCCGGAATTAAATTTCCCCAGCAATTTCTGACGCTCTGCATCCCCCTGGCAGAGCATGTTACTGCTGGCGCTTGTGTGGATGTGTACTGCTCTCATCCCTGCTGGCCAGTGTTGCCAACCTCCAGCAGCATTTTTTACTGACAAAACATGGAAAATTTACTGACGGAGCACATTTTACTTACTGACAACCTGAAAAATGACATTAAGAACTATGACAGTATGTAATCAGTATAAACACAATCTGGAACCACTGACAATACCCTTAATAAGTAATTTGACTGGTTTATACTTACAAAAGTCAAAACACAGCATGATACATTATCATCCCCTGTTGTAAAAATCACTGATTTTTACCAACTGTCCATAAATTTACCAACGATTGGAAACTCTGACACTGGACCTTCTCTCCATCTCAGGAACTTACTTCTCATAAGATTGACAGGAGAACAGGGCCGGCAGGAATCAGAGCAGTAGGCATCCTGCCCACACAAGCCTAGCTAACCCCCTGTACTGTGTCCTCATGATCCCTTGTACTGTGTCCTCCTGATCCCCTGTACTGTGTCCTCCTGATCCCCTGTACTGTGTCCTCCTGATCCCCTGTACTGTGCCCTGCTGACCCCCATCCTTTGCCTTGCTTGAAAGCACTAATAAATGTATGTTTAATCCTATCAACTATTTATACTTTAATTCCCAAGAGTAGGTGCATAAATTGGGGCAGACTGGTAGGGGCCCCAGTGCATAACTTTGCTCAGGGGCCCATGATTCTATTAGGATAGCCCTGATACACACAGCCAGAAGGTGCACCACATTTAGTTGCATACAAAAAGTCAAACACAGCTGCATCCAGGGCCATACCTATCTGCAGATTTTACACATGAAAACATGGGTTAATGTGTGTAAACGCAAATGCGCATTCACACGTAAAGTCATGAATATAAATGCTACACTTCTAAGGCCTCTTTCACATAGGTGTACCTATCCATACACTCATGCAGAGGACTGTCTTTGCCTGCACAGGATGCACATTAGACGTGCATTTCCTTCTGATTAATTTTTTAGATGAAAATTTTATTTTCAGAGATTCAGATGTATACAAATCTCTGAATGGACATAGTAACGAATCTGAAAAAATTTTATAACAAAATTAACAAATGCATTCATTTAATTTGTTTCATTCGGAAGTAGTTTGGGCACATGAGAAAATGGATTCAATTTTTGAATTAGTTTAATAATTTGGATTTGGATAATGAATGGATCCAAATTCAATCAATATTGTCCAATAAGCTCATGCCGTTTCTTTTGGTGGGTTGGACTAGGATCTGAAACTATTGAATGCTTCAGATTCTAATCCGTTTGATTAGATAATATATCAAATATATAGCAATCTTCCAGAAAAACTGAGAAATGTTTTGAATCCACCAGGACCAACAAATATGCAAAATGAATGCCGAAGATATGAAATTCCAAAAACGAATCTGTTCAACACAACAAATATGATGAAACTAAATTTTCCAATAAATCTCCTAGACTGTTAGCTCCAAGGAGCAGGGCCCTCCTATCCCTCTTGTATTGAACTGTATTGTTGCTGTATTGTCTCCCGTTATATTGTAAATCACTGAGCAAACTGTTGGCGCTATATAAATCCTGTGTAATAATAATAATAATAATAACAACGAATGCATCCAAAACTAAACACAAATTTCCAGCATGCACATGCATAGATCCATAGATTTATTAAAAAAAAATATTCAGTCTGTCATGAAGGTTTTTTTTTCAAGAACTCATAGGTTTATAGGGTGGCCTTTGCCCACACAGGATGCATCGGTGTTCAGTGCATTCACATGCAGGCAGTCCCATTCATGTCTATTGGGATGCAGCAGCTGCACAGACACAGCCTCCAG